AAATTTTTTTGATCTACCAAATTTATGACGTTTTACCGAAATGACTTTTCAGGGGTTAGTTATATTGAAAGCCCGATGCGTCGTTGATCAGAAGGGCTGAATCATCTATAATTATCAGAGGGACATTTTCCCTTGGCGGCACTCAAATGATGTCGGACATCAATATAGATAATTAATCAACGACACTCTATTGAAACTAATTTTTCATAATTTTTTTGATCCCACTATGCTACGTTCTGATTGATAACCCCTCAATATAACAAGATAGCTAAATACAACTTATAGGCTTAAGTTATTAGGCAAAGTAATACACTTCATAAACGTTTTACCTTAGTCGATTTTAATGCAAATCTAATCTAATACATTTTATTTCTTTTACTCAATAAACTAACGATTATATAATTGAATTCACTTATTAGGTTGTATGATTTTAATAAAAAAAAGATTACATATTTTAAAATGGATTCTGAAATCGAATCGACTTTGAAAAGATGTAATCATTTCTAGAATCGATTATACGATTAGACAAAAACGACAATCAAGTCTAATTCGATTACGATTAAAACGATCACACGACCAATAATACATAAATAATAATAATGATAATGCTAATGGATAATAATGATAATACTAATAGATAATAATAATGATAATACTAATGGATAATAATGATAATAATAATAAACTAAGGTGCAGGTGTTAATGCAGAAGCAGCGCAAGTTGCCATACACGCACTATGAGCAATGTAACATAATGCTACAACTGAAGGAGAGCCAAGTCCTGGTATACAGATGGTACCTTTATTGGTATAAAATAATTTAATATCACATCGATATATTAAATCAAAAGGTTATCTATTTGTTGAAAATAAACAACACACCTATAATTCCTGAAGCAGCGTAACATGCTACCCACCCTGAATTACACGTTGATTGGCATAGAGTATACGTGACAGGACCAGCATTGGCCAATGACAGGATGGATAATACCAACAAGAAAATCAGGGCAAATTTTGGCATCTGTGATCGTAGTTAATGCAAAAATATTCAGAAGACCTGAGTCTGTTCATGTAGTATGATAAAAATAGAATAAGCATTAATAATATTGAAACATTGGAAGCATGTTAAAAAATCAACTATTTACATGATAAATATGATAAATTAAGTGATAAAAATTTGTCGTGCGCGAATTTTCTTCCAGAAGGACTTTGATGTGTTTTTTATACGTTTTTTTTTTTTTTGCTTTAAAAATTATTATTCACATAATTATATCGAAATTATAAACCATAATATTTTAATATAATAAAAAATGGGCATTAATTTCCGTGATTATTGTGTCCTGTGTGATTTACGTGAGTTCATACAAATTCATAATTAGAATAGAATATTTTTTTGGAACAGTCTGTGAGCTTCGGAAATCACTTTGACAATCATTTCTACCGACTAGTCGTTAACCGACATCGCTTAGGGTGACAACTTAGCATATTATTCATTTAGCATATATTATTTACAAATTGTCACGTCATGTGGTGTACTTGTCGGTAAAATGAAGCGGACCTCTGACGGAGTTGAAATTTAAATAAGTGATTAACTCTTCTAAAATTTAACTAGTAACAAAAAAATTACTAATTTGTTGAGATACAATGTGAATCATAATCAGCGAAATTACCGTTTGGGGCACTTTTAATAGGAACTGGTATTTTTAGTAATTAAATTTCGAAGTTCCGATTCATGCAAGTTGATGATAGACATTAACAGAGAAATTTTTATAACATGGTGAATACCAATTATTAACTTTATTTGCTAAGAATCTGATTATTAGTATATTCTTTTAATGTTTGAAAAACTTCTAATAACGTGTTGTGTAGTACTGTCTAAGGTTGGAATCGTTTAAAAGCACTAGTATCAAACGTGTGACCTCCTATGTCATTTTTTTATGCAACCGTTAGTATGAGTTATATCCAGGAAATTATAAAGAAATGTTCTGGGCAACTCAATATACTACGAAGTTTGACCAAACATGTTAATTATAGTATGCATAGCCACTCAGTGAATAACAATCCGGATTTCTTAATTTTATACTCTAAGTTTCTATTTCTTTTTTATTGTAAACATTAATAGGTTCTATGTTTAAAATACGTGTTATGATAAAAAAAGCAATTTCAATAGATAAATATTAAAATTTTTAATTTTAGAATTAAAATTTTTCCCTTAAGTGGGTTAATGCTACTAACGTTTTTGTAATATTCCGGTTTGAATGTCAACACTTGCATCATTTAATGTCTGGGCAGTACGTTTCGGATAAATGATCAACATTTGACAATGAGGTCATTAAAAAAAAATATTTAGCATTATTTCGGATTCTTGCTTGATCAAGAAATTCGGAATTAGGAATGTTAATTGATCCCGCAGCAACTGTGGATCAATTTTGAGCAAGTTTTGTAAACATTAGTAACTTTGGTTTTCATTGATTTTGTATTAACATTATTAGGGGTTTCAAAATTAAAATCAGAGAATCTTATTTTATTTTTCCGATTTATAATTCAACATAGTAGAAATGCTATTAAAAAAATCCTACTTATTTTCGAAATGAGTCACTTATTTGTTAGTTTTGAAACCCCCTATTAGAAATTTAAATGAGACTGATTAGCCGATCGGCTAGATAGGCTTTACCTGACTTGTGTATTTGGAGATTTATAATGTAATGATTGTATACATGCGTGCATCAGATATTATAAACCTTTTACCGTGCATGGTTAGTCGTTACTATTTTGCAATGTGGGCAAGAGACCTACAGGCAAAATTTCCAGGAAAGGAAATTTTCATCCGTCATTTTTATAATTTTTATTATAGTAATGATAGATCGATATAAATTGAAATAGCTATTAATATTGCTATTGTAATTGCTATTATTACGCTACCGTACGTATTTGTTATCTAATGCGAAAGAACTCAGATACGAGTCAAAAGTTTTGGTTTTGGTATTTATTAGCTGCCTGATACGAATATAAATGACGTCAGGAGCTACTATACGATTAGATTTTACTAATTTTCCCAAAATTTCTATTGGCTAGGACTATTCGCATATCACCTTTTTTGTAATGAATTGGGGTTAGGGTTAATGATGCCTGACGAAACTATTTTCGTGATGACAATTGGTTTCGTCATGGTTTCGTCATGACGAAACCTTGGCGATTGACGAAACCCCTGACGATTGACGAAACCCCTGACGATTGACGAAACTCCTGACGATTGACGAAACCCCTGACGAAACAACTGACGAAACACCTGACAATTAACAAACCTCTGAAAATAATAAAACTATTGGCAATTAGTAAATTATTTACTAAAATACTAT